ACAGTTGTTAGGATGTGCTGTACATGGTTTTCAATATTTATGTCATTTGGGTTTGGGAAGTTGTTTATCGTGAATTGTTTTTCATAGGAATTTGCAAAAAGCTCTACTATTTCGTTTAGGTTGTGAGTGGTAGTATTGCCATCAGATATTGGACCTATGGTTGTTTCAGTTGTTTTAAGTGATTTGGCTATTTTCCAGACTGAGTTGTCTGTGTGGGAAAGGCTTTCTAGGAAGATGTTCCAGGAGTTTTCTTTAAATTCTTTTATTAGTTTTCGCAGTTGCCTGTTGCTTCTGTTAAATTCCCGTAGGTCTCTTGGATCTTGCGTATTTTGAGCAATTTTCCTTAATCTATTTTTCTCTTTGATCTTGTTTTGGATATTTTTTGGGAGAGTTGCGTTACTATTTTGGATGGGATGTTTACTATTGTCGAGGGTTAGTTGAATTTTTTGAGAGAAGTAATTTATTGCGTTTTCTATTTCTTCTTCATTTTGAGGGGAGAAGGTTGGGTTGATGCTATTGTCTATTTCTTGTTTAAATTTTGACCAATTTATTTTACATTTTAAAGGTGGTAGCCCTTGTTGGAGGCCATGCAGGGTGAATTTGATGGGGAGATGATCCGAATCTAATGCTGTGTCTACTTGCAGATATGGTTGTTGATTAATTTTAGAGGTGATGATTATGTCTAGTACATCGTTGGAGTTTTGATGGATTTTGGAGTAGAAGGTTGGTTCTATTGGAGCAGTGATGATGATATTATTGTTGATGCTGTAGTTGTAGAGTATGATTCCGTCCAGGTTATTATTTTTGGAGTTCCAGGTGGTGTGTTTTGAGTTTAGGTCCCCCGCAATAATTGTGGGGAAACCTAAACTGATTGATTTTATCGATGTCTTGAGTGCATAGGGCTTTTCCTGGTGGTTTGTATACTGCGACTAGTAAGTAGTCTATATTCCTGCTGGGAAGTATACAGGCGCATGCTTCTATACTGTTGAGGGTTGGTAAATGAAATTTGGTGCTATTTAAACTTCTTTTAATGATGATAGCTGTGCCGCCTCCACGGTTGTGAAGTCTGTCCACTCTATGGATATCAAAGTTAGGAATTTTGAAGGAGTCTTCGGGTTTGAGATGCGTTTCGTTTAGGAGAATAACGTCCAGATTATGTGTATTGATGTAATCTTTTAATTATAGCGTTTGTCTTTTAATACCATTGCTATTGAAGGATAAAAATTTAGCATAGTTGATATGCGGTCTATTTCTTTGGTTGATTTGTTGTCTGTGATTATACATAATTTTTGGTGTGAAAAATCTTTACCGCTTCTAAGGCGATCTTTAATTTGTTGACTTGAGTATTTTTAAATTTGAGGTAAAGGTCATGTATTTGCTCGATGAATTCGACAAAATCATCAAAATCCTCGTCTTTATCTTGAGTATATTCTTTTAATTGCGGTTTTTTATATTGAGGGGGTTCTTTTGTGGCGGTTTCTTCTTTTTGATGGGTTGGTTCTTTGAGTTGCGGCTGTTTGTTTCCATTATTTTTGGTTGATGCTGTGACTGCAGCGTAGGATAGAATGGTGTTGCCTGATTGGCTGGGAGTATTGCGATTTGCAGTGCTCCGGGAATTTGTATTAATTTTCGTTTTCTTTTTTTTTTAATATTTTCTGCTTTAAGTTTTTCTTAGGCATTTCTTCTACTAAGAATTGCCTCTTGCTAAGAATAGGAACTGTATATTAGTTTTTTTGGACTGGGCAGTCTTTTTGGATCTAATCTGACACAGCGAGGTTTTTTGTGAAAGCGTAGCATTGCGGTATTTTTTCCCAATCAGATTAAAGAACATTGTGTTGGGCCGGGATTTTTCCACTTCGCTTGCTATTGCTGAAGATGTCGCTTGTTTATCATCCATTTTCTGAAATGTAAGCTATACCGAATTCTAGGGGATGCCTATCGCACCCATAGAATAATGATGGTAATTGAGAATAAGGTATCTCAAGGTTGTCCAGCAATAAATTATTATTGTATACTAAAACATGTCTGCAATTTTTATTCTCCGTTATGCATCTTACAGACACACAAAAGCAAAATGCTTTCATGCTAACTACTAAAGATGTGTAAAAGGGACTAGTTCCTGGTACCAACGATTTCCAAAAGAAGCGAATTAGAATGAAGTATGTAAATTGAACTGCTTGATATAATACTGCGTGAAGACTTAAGATTTTGAGATTGTCTCCCTATGTTGTTTTGTACAATTGGTGATATTTAGGGTTTCTTTAAAATTTCTTGAGGTCTTTCCAATTTATATCTCTTAGTGCATGAAAGGGAATTTCTGTATTTGACAGCTTCAAGGACATATGGTCAGTAAATTTAAAAGAACAGATTTTTCAGGATCCATTGTCTCGTCTTCCGTTTGTTGGTTTGCATTCAGTGGCTCCATCTGTTGACTCGTCGAGTAGGTTATTGAATTTATTTGCGGTTACTATTTCTATTTCTGAATTGGTTTCACTTTGATTTGAATTTGATCTTTTGTGTCTTTTTGATTTTGGGGCCTCTTTCCAATTTTCTTGTTTGGTTGGGGTACTATATGGATAGTTGTCTTTGTTGACTAGGGCTTTTAAATCGTTTTGATTGAACTGGTGGTTTAGTAGAATATTAATTTCGTCTATTTCATCTAGTAGTATTTGATAAATTTTTTCTTCTTCTTCCGTTATTTGGGAATTAGCTTTTTTGTTTTCTAGTATGGTGATATTTTTTCTTAATTCCTGGTGCCTTTCGAGGATGTTTTTGATTGAGCCTTTTGGCAAAGTATTGATGCTGTTTGGTGAGACATTTATGGGTATATCTTTGTCCGCGATAGGTGTGTTTAAAGCTGCATCGTGCAGTGCAATTTCGTCATCTATTGCTAGCATTTTTTGTCTGTGCTCTGAGTTGAGACCTTCCGTTTTGCCTACAATTTCATATTTTTTGCGTTCAGATTTTAACTCGTTGATCCGTTCTATTCTCCAAAGCGGGGAGTTTGGTATATTTTCTCCTTGCGCTTAGCGCCTTGTCTCGTAAGCATGATGCTAAGAATCTGTCGGGTACGCTTATCCTAATTTGGAATTACGTTACGCCGAAGAGAGTCACCATAATTACCAAAGACAATACTTACGATGGGTAATGACGTTCTAGAAGTTCTAGATGGCCTGTTGAGATAAGCAAAATATGGCAATTCGTGAGAGCGCTTAAAAAATCCAACCTTGTCCCTTGGGGCTCAGCGGCTGAATGTCTGTATGTGAAGGAGTGAGCCAGAGCGACGCGAGATACTTATAGCAGAAGTAGGAATGACGTCATCTCACGGCAGCCAATCAGCTATCGGCACGAATCGGCTTTCCAGATGACGTAACATCACTTTCGTTTTTGCATCTTAATTAGGTTGAAACAGTCCGTTCTCAACGCAAACAGTGGCAGTAAGAAAAAGAAGTAGAAGTAACTACTATATTACTTTAAAATAAGAAATAAACTAAATAAACATTTCAAGGAGGAGAGATGATGCAGTAAAAGGTTTACAATAAGCTATATTTTCCAACACAAACGTTAAAGTTTAGATAAACAAAGGATATGCCTTTATCCATTTTTTGCAGCAATTCCACTTTTTGTTTAATGGACTTCGAAACATACTTTTGCTTTGTAGATCCTTTACATATTAGTAAATATATATCAGAAATTCTGTTTGACATAATCGAAAGTTTCAAGCTTACTTTTATAAAATTGCTCTAACAGTCTGCAAAAAATAATAAGCTGAATCGAATTCGAAGATTAAGGAACAACGCAATCTGCAACATTAACTGAATTAGATAATTTTAGCTTAGATTATACCGTCCGTTATACATTAAACGCGCATTCGTAAACGTATTTTGCGCACGTGCACACGCATATTCGCAGCCATAAAGGTCTTACATCATCGCGACGCATGTGCAGAAAGTTTGTAGCTTTGAGGTCCGGATTATGGGTGTCCGAATTAACGTCTTTTGACTGTAGTAGTTACAATCTGAATTCACTTCCCACTCACAACAAAATTGCATATTGTGGCTTTCTAGATATTTAATATAATATAAATACGTATTAATAATCTTTATACATTTCTTTAGCCAGGTATTTATTTCACAGCAGGCACGTATTGAATGCTTTTGCGTGGTTAACAATAAACTTCATTTTAAAAGTATGAAATGTTACTTTTTAATTTTATTTTCTTTCCTTCCCTATCTTGATATATCTTCTACAACAAGGATTCTAAGCAAATTTGAAATTTTCCTGCTTCAGGGAATTCTGTCAGGATTGTTGTCAGCATTTTATTTATATGTTAAGTACTTAGTTTTAGTTTATCAATAAGAAAAACTGAGCACCTGAGGATGATGGCTTGGTAAAATCATCGAAATTGAGTCCTTGCAAATATACGCTGATTTTTGCTGTTTGAATTCTAGATTAATACTTGTTCGGCATGTTATTTTATCTTAACAAGAAGTACTTTTGTTCAAGTTTTGGCACTTGTCAAATTTTTTCTACACTTTTGTTGTTTACTTTATAAAACACGTTAAAACAAAGTCTAAATCTAAATAAATGTATATGCATTTTTTGAGAGTTGGAAATGCGGTGAGGATATTCTAGCACTACTGAAAGGGGTGCATGGGGGAAAATATGTTGTTGATTTAATACATCTATATTCTAGAATTTATTACAACTAAAGCCATGCATTTGAGATACTTTTATTATTGTTGAATCAAAGTAACATTCTTTTTTTTGTCTTCATTTGAGAACACATTACCTAATCACAAATATTCATCTAAAATTTGTATATAGTAAGTATTTTTGTGTTTCTTCTGAAAAGGGGCGGGGGAAGAAATTCCATAAAATTACTGAATTTCTTTTGTATTCTTAGATTAGTCATGGTACTGTAACATTTAAGTTCGCAAAACCTGTGCATTGTATTACCCTTTTCCAGGTTACAACTTTAGTTTCACCAAGAAGAAAAATAAATTCACAAATGTTTTATTGCACGAAACTTAGAATCCTCAGTACATAAAATGTTGAGTAGATACTAAAAATTTAGAAGAGTTGAAAAATAGTAAAAATCATGCTATGCAACCATCTCCAGAAACCACCTGTTACTGTTTAATGGTTTTTTTTATACGTGCTGGTTCATAAAAACTGGCCCAGTTTCACAAAGATTTAAGAATATTCGCTGAGGCAATCAGATTCCCGTATTAGTCTGGACAAATGGTACCTCAGAGGTAATGGCTCTTTCAAAACCTTCAGACATCATGTCAGTAAGAGCTGCATATTAAAATTCTGAAATATTCAAGAAACACAATAATGTGATTATCGCGTTTCAAAATTATTAAATAGCTTTTCCAGAAAAAAAGAAATTATTTTAAGTAAATTAATAATTATAATTACACACAGACTTTTAATAGCAGTAAATTAAAAATAAAAGAGACATACTGCTGTTAACATTAAAGTAAAAATAATGCAGTAATTTCAAAATATAGAACTAGGAAAATACAGAAATATAGAATTCTTACTCTTAACCTATACAATCTCCTCATGGTAGTGGTAACAAACATGGAAAAGTAAAAATATAGTATGGCTATCAACTGTCAAACTATTGGGATTAGAGAAAAGCATACTTAGTTTTTTTCTATTATGTGGGCATTGAGCCCGCACAATTAAATTCAGAGCCAATACACAAACCAAATCTCACTAATGCATCACATAACTAATTTATTGGAAATTTGGATCATTAGAAAAATTTTTTTTTTCCAAATGCAAATCACAACTACAATTAGTCATAGGGCTTTCAGTAAGATTTCAGCCAGATTATGAATGCAGGTGGTTCCATGGTAAATATACTTATCTTTTCTGCTGTAACAATTAAAAAAAATATTGAATAAAACAGAGTACAACAGATACATTAATCAATCCCATGAAATAAAATTAAATTGATCTGTCCAAATTATATTCCGCTAAGAACAGAATTTTGCCAGGTTAGAATTATTTCTGTTAGAGGAGTTCTTTTTGCAACCATCACTTGAATAGAATTTTGATACAGAATATGTCTTGAATTATAAATATCAATAGAGATAATAAAACACAAAATTTTCAGATTCTTTCCTATTCTTAAGTTGTATTATAAAAGAGATATTTTACTATGCTTCCTCAGTGAATTTCAAAATAAATTTAGGTTCCCACTTGTCTTAATGTTGATCTGCACAAATACTTCCAAAACAGAACAGGAAATGTAAGATAAATATGAAACTCTACTTAGGTACAAGCATATAGAAAGCCAGTATGCGTCTTTGAAAACTTAAAAATTATGCTTTCTTCTAGGAATTTAAAAACAAAATGTTTCCTAAAGACATATTTAGTAAAAAACTATTTCTTATATTTATGGAAAAGACAATTTTTCCAAATGCCTTTTTACATATTTATGCACATGGGATTTTTCTAAAGCATTAATATATGCAAAAATTGATTAAAAGCTTAGTGTAGAAACATATTTTTATGCCTAATAACACAACCAGGCCACTGACTGCCCACGTACTTTCTTAAGATTTCCGCTTCCTGAATTAAAAAAAAAAAAAAAAAAAAAAAAAAAAAAAAAGCTCAATGATTAATAAAATTTTTATTTCATACTCACTAAGCACTTACAATGAATTTAAAATATTTAGTCGTGTTATCGCAACAGTCTGGCCGCACCTAATTTTGGCTGCCTGCATACTTTTATGTGCTAGACCTCGGCCAGGAACATCCCTGCACAGAACTATATTTAAATTTTTAGTCATCATACAAAAGCCAAATTTAATAAAATGTATGGGTTTTCATCCGCAGAGAACCCGCTGGCGCTTCGGGAAAGAATCCGTTGCCGCCATAGCATTTTTACTCGCCAAACTCATTGGCCTTAAACATGACTTTTAGTGCATGTAAATTCAAGTTAGCAGACAAAACAATATATTAAGCATATAGTAGTAAAAATTCATAAATAATAACTAACCGGTTAAACGTGATATACGAAAATGAATTTGTATTAAATTCAGAAATAGAAAAGAATATATACGTATTTATAAAAGAATTAAAAATTCATTTAAAAAATATAAATCAGTATTAATATACTGAAATTAACCGGTTAAACGTGATATACGAAAAGACATTTGTCTTAAATTCCAATTAGCACAGAAAACAATATATTCCTTACACCAGCAGTGGTTTGCTAATTTTGATGATCATGGGGATGCATTAAAGTATTCTGTCATCTTGGATAATCAATAATATTTTTTATTTCAATTTAATCATCTATTTATGTCACATCTGCCATCCTCTGAAAGGTTATTATTTATTAGAAAAGCATTAACAATATATTTGTTAAAATTTTACACCATAAAAATTGATTTATTCTCATTTTAGATGACATTAACCAATAATAAAAATAAAAGCATTACTTAATTATTTTAAATGCACATGCACATTTTTGCGGCCTAGAAAAACAAATTATTTTAGGGGTTGGAAACCTCTTGGTTCTGAGTTCTTACAGCTGTTAATCATGAACAGCCGTGTTACAAATTAGCATTCACCCCTCCCGCCATATTTTCTTCCTTTCATCCCGAACTGACGAACCGAAAATTGGTATCTATCTACGAAAACTTCTATAATTATACGAAAATATTTCTATCTATTTGTTGTTAAAAAATAATGTGGAAAATCAGAAAAAATAATAATAAATAAGAGAATAATAATATAAATTTGAATGATTGCAAACTTCGAAAAAAAAAAAGAGGAATGATTATAAACTTCGAACACGCGAATAGGATGAATCCGTGGGTTACCAGGTTTGAACAATTATCGCTAAAGTTGGCGACGTTTACATTTACCGGGTTCTCTGTGGAAGTGCTTTCAAATGCACTTGCAAGCTACAGTTTGCACACGTCTTCATGCTTAATCACAGAACTAAAATTAAATTGTGCGTTAACATATGAACAGCCAAGTTTTACATGATACTACAGCATGGACATGGTGATGAAATATTTAACCGTTCTTCAGAATTTTAGGACAAGAAGGATTTGAAGGTGGTAAAATGAAAGACAGCATATTCCACAGGAATAAGATGCAAAGCTTAATTCAGTACTATTCGGTTTCGAGGGCCGTAAAAAATCGCCAAACTGTTGTTGATGCCAATGCTGCCAAAAATAATTGCAGCAAGAAAGGAAGTATAATAGTAAATAACTACAGTCAAAAGTCGTTAATTCGGACACTCATAATCCGGACTTCAAAGCTACAAACTTTCTGCGCATGCGTCATTTTGACGCACGCGCGTTTAAGACCTTTACGGCTGCGAATATGCATGCGCATAATAGGTTTACACATGGGCGTTTAATGTATAACGGACAGTATAAGCTAAGATAAAATTATCTAATTCAGTTCATGTTGCAGTTTGTGTTGTTCCTTAATCTTCGGATTGGATCCGGCTTATTATTTTTTGCAGACTGTTAGAGCAATTTTATAAAAGTAAGCTTGAATTTTCGATTATGTCAAATAGAATTTCCGATATATATTTACTAATATGTAAAGGATCTACAAAGCGAAAGTATGTTTCAAAGTCCATTAAACAAAAAGTGGAATTGCTGCAAAAAATGGATAAAGGCATATCCTTTGTTTCTGTAACCATTCCGTAATCTGTTTATCAATTTCACGCTGCTCTGGGGATGGGGGGAACGCCGCGGCGTGCAATGAATTGGAAGATGATATGTCAGCATTATCCTTATCTTCAGGGCAGATGTTTTTATTTTATTTGGCTTACAATTCCTTTAGTAAGGAAACATTTAGTAATGTAGTATTTCATCTCGATGTACTCCGTCTTTGATATGATTTAAATCAAATTCCTCGTCATTATAAGTCGCTTCCGATAGTGAAGAAAGTGACACAGAGGTTATTGAAAACGAAAAAATTTCGATTGACAAATTAGTCGGTATTAGTACACAGCAATTATAGGACTTCAACAGCGAACTTTGTAACTGAAGAAGAAATTATGTCTGTTTATAGAATTAAAGAGAAAGTATTATCACATAAAACGAAGCAACTTAAACAACTTACATTGAAAGAAATGTTTAATAAGGTAAACAAATACTAAGATTTTTTTATTGTAAATTTTGATACCCTTTAGATCATAATTGTTCTTTATTTCATAAATTACAGTTTCATATTTTTAATTTTATAATTTCTGCATGCCATCTACCCCAGATGATGTTTTAATTTAGATAAAAGGTTAATTTCATATACAGTCAAAAGTCGTTAATTCGGACACCCATAATCCAGAATGATCTATAATCCGGACCTCAAAGCTAAAAACTTTCTGCACATGCAGCACATTAACACATGCACATAGGCATTTACGTGTGCGCGTAAGACCTTTATGACTGCGCATATGTGTGTGCGCAAGCGCAGAATATGTTTTTGCGTGCGCGTTTAATGTATAACGGACGGTACAAGCTAAAATTATCTATTTCAGTTAATGTTGATAATTGCGTTGATTCTTGATCTTCGAATTGGACGCGGCTTATTATTTTTTGCAGACTGTAAGAGCAATGTTATAAAAGTAAACTTGAACTTTCGATTATGTCAAATAGAATTTCCGATGCTGGAGCTCACAAAGGATCTACAAAACGAAAGTATGTTTCGATGTCCATCAAACGAAAAGTGGAATTGCTGCAAAAGATGGATAAAGACATGAAGAAGGTGACAGAGAGGTTAGTGAAAACGAAAAAATTTCGATTGACAAGTTAGTCGGTATTCTCGGCACAGCAATTACAAGACTTAAACAGCGGAACTTTATAACTGAACAAGGAATTATGTCTGTTTATACAATTAAAGAGAAAGTATTATCACATAAAACGAAGCAACTTAAACAACTTACATTGAAAGAAATGTTTAATAAAGTAAACAAATAAATATTAAGCTTTTTTTTTGTAAATTTTCATACAATTTAGATCATAATTGTTCTTTATTTCATAAATTATGGTTTCCTATTTTTAATTTCAAAATTTCTGCATTCCATCTTACGAGATTTAAACTGATGATTTATAAACCGGAAAAATCGATAATACGGAATCGCCGAAGTCCCGACGAGTCCGGATTAACGACTTTTGAGTGTAATACTTTTTTATTATTATAATTTATACGAAAATGGCTAAACATGACTGAATGGAAGGATAAGAGTAAATAAATATTTCAGAACCATTATTATAATTTATATAAAAATTGCTAAACATAACTGAATGGATGCCTGCATCGCTATTTCACTATTCACTTATCCCTAAAGCATAATTTCATCTCGTTGGTTGTTGAAACGTAACTTTATATAATGAATGATGCCTTTTCTTTGAAAATATTCTAGGTAAAGTGCAGAATCGCTCACTTATTTGTTTGCCAATTTTTACAAGGGTAAAAACAATTGGATTTTTGTCAATTTTCTTTTACTTTTCAAGTGAAAATTTGTCAATGTGTACACATAAAGTCAAGGGTGTGTGCAGTACAATTTTTGTGCAATTCTAGGATTTTCTTTCAAGTGAAAATAGTTCGACGTGCACATGGATACAGAGTATGTGCAATTCTTAAAAATGCGTCAAGCAGTGGGTGATTCTGCACTTTACCCAAAATTCTATTGCTGAGTTTTCGTCGTGGGCAAATCCCAAATTGTTAAATCCATTGGATATCAAAAAAGGATTTAAAAATTAAACTAATATTTCAATGGCGTCTTAAGAAATACAGAACTATATAAACTTACACAATCTGAAATTAGCACGCTCTTAAATGGGCGCGTTTGCTAGATTTGGAGCTTTTGCATGTACATTTTCGCTGCAATTTTTTTTACGGCCCTCGAAACCGAATAGTAGCCTTAATTCTTAATAACAGACAATAAACAGGGACGTATAAGTATAAACATATCTGAAATATGGAACAGCTTCAGTAAATCCAACCTTCAAAGTTTGGAAAAATTTGTTTTCGTGCCAAAGCACATGAAATACGTTGTTTTGAAAAAAATGGTTGCCATCCAGATTTTCAACAGAACTCCGTGTTTCAAAAAATGGCAGCCATCTTGATTTCACCAAAAAGCGTGGACAATAGAAATAAATTTACGACTATTATACATGATTTTAAGAGAAAGACATATTAAGAAATGATTCATAAAAATGATTAAGATTAAAAGGATGTACTTTAAAAAAACAATCTCAGAAACCTTTAGCTATTTAGCTAATAAATAATTTGGTAAAAGCGTAGAATAGGCTGCATGTGTGATGTCCATAAATGGGCAGCAATAAGCTTGTGACGTCAAAATGTATTCTCGCATTTATGCTACGTGTACCTTCTATTTTCTCTTAAAAAACAATAATGAACTGTTTATTATTGTAAATTAACATCAAATTCTTTACTTTAAATTTACATTTCTGAAATTTAAGCTTAGGCGTAACTGAAATAAGTATAATAAATTGTTTATATTTAAAATTACCATGATACAGTAAGAGAATTCTATCAATTATTAAAACGATAAAGAACGTCGCAGCCTCTTATACTTGTATTTCATACAGCTTCAGTATTTTCAAAGATTTTTAAGTTTCAGCATTTATACAAATAAAAAAGAATTTTCTTTAAATTTAAATTAATTTTGTGGAACATATCAATTTTATCATATTTACAAATTAACTTTTTGCTATGTAACGACATAATCCCTTACATACTAGTAACTAAACAATTTTCATTATTTTCTAAAAATTTTAAACTTCACATTAATGAAAAACATATTCTTAAATTCACAAATCACGGCATATTCTCTGTAGGCAGGCGTACTAGAATTCTACACATTAATAACTAAAAAAATATAATTTCTCACTATGAAAGAAAATATTATAAGACAATAAATACTACAAATTTGAAACACTAAGCAAGGCCATAATATTAAGATTAAGGAAAAAAATATCACGATTTGCTTACAAAAAGTTTTGGACTTTGGAATACAACAAAAAAGAATGCACACAAAATGGCAGAAGTGCTTGATTGAAGCATTAGTATAAGCATGACTGCTGGAAGAATGATTATGCACATTGTTGCCAGAGTTAGGCAAATGCTGAAAATATAGCAACTTGTATTACGGAGGCAAGTACCACAAAAAATACTTAACACTCTCAAATTTAGATTTCTTTCAAAGACACTACAAGCCGCATAGTGGCATCAAGAAAATAGTTCAAAATTAATGTTTTCAACATACGATACGGAACACATAAGCCTGTAAAAATCTAAATTCTAAGCATTCTCAACATTAAAAAGAGAGTTCCAAGAGCTACCAAGGATGAAAAAAAAACTCAAATCCTATGGCACTAGAGATACCACAAAATAATATATTTCATATTTCGTACGTTTTTTAAAAAATGCAATGAAAAGTGGAATGTGTGAATGAAACAAAGTGTGAATGAAATTTCCATTCGAATGAAAATGTTCAACATTTCAAGCTTTAAAACAATGGATGACATTACCTGAATGGGAGAAATTTTTGACATCAATAAAATTTCCTTCTAGAGAATAATATAATCAGTGTCTAACTTTTCATTCTTCAAATATGCTTTTTTAAATTTTTCATTACTAATTAAATACTAAGAAAATGTTGCTTTAAATCAGCACTTGAAAATGACTTGTGATTTATTTCACAGACATCAGGTTTTTCTCTTGTGGGAACAGATAAATGATTTATTAAGAATCAAGATGAAATGAAAAGTTGAACAAACCCCATACAAAGGCATTTCTTTATAGCATGTACAAGTCTTTACTGCACACATAAGCAAAGGTTCTTTTTAATGTAACTTTCCCACAAAGAAAAATATCCTTCTCATTATATATAGACATGAGTGTCAATTTTTCTATCACTTAAATGATTTGTTACCCATATAACTCATGGATTTCTTTTCTGGGGTGGATAAGCATATGCTTCTTTAAATTAGATTTTTGAGTAAATGACTTATTGCATACCTCACAAACATGAGGTTTCTCTCCTGTATGATTAAACAGATGTTTCTTTAAAGAACCTATCTGAGAAAACGACTTCTTACATACCTCACACACATGAGGCTTCTCTCCAGTGTGAACAAGTATATGCTTTTTTAAATCCCCTTTTTGAGCAAATGACTTCATACATACCTCACACACATGAGGTTTCTCTCCTGTGTGAATAAATGTATGTTCATTTAAATGAGCTTTATGAGTAAATGACTTGTTACATACTTCACACACATGATGTTTCTTTCCTGTGTGAATAAGCATATGGTTGGTTAAACTACATTTGTAAGAAAATGATTTATTACATATCTCACACACATGTCGTTTCTGTCCTGTGTGAATAAGTATATGGTTGTTTAAACTAAATTTGTAAGCAAATGACTTATTACATATCTTACACACATGAGGTTTCTCTCCTGTGTGATTAAGCATATGTTCGTTTAATTGACATTTTTGTATAAATGACTTATTGCATAACTCGCAAACATGAGGTTTCTTACCTGTGTGAATATATATATGTTTATTTAAATGACATTTTTGAGTAAATGACTTGTTACATACCTCACACACATGAGGTTTCTCTCCTGTGTGAATAAGCATATGATTATTTAAAGAACTCTTTCCTCTAAATGACTTATTACATATCTGACACAGATGAGGTTTCTCTCCTGTGTGAAGAAGCAAATGGTTATTTAAATTACTTTTTAGAGTAAATGACTTATTACATATCTCACACACATGACATTTCTCTTCTTTGTGAATAAAAGAATGAATGTTTAAGTGACTTTTTCGAACAAATGACTTATTACATACCTCACACACATGAGGTCTCTCTCCTGTATGGAGGAGTATATGCTGGTTTAAATTATTTTTTTTGGTAAATGACTTGTTACATACCTCACAAACATGAGGTTTCTCTCCTCTGTGAATAAGTATATGGTTGTTTAATCTACATTTGTAGGGAAATGACTTATTACATATCTCACACACATAAGGTGTCTTTCCAGCCTGAATAACCATATTCATGTTTAAGGTGCTTTTTCATCCAAATGAATGCTTACATATTTTAAACACACATTTTTCCTCCTTTATGTGTCTGCAGATGCTTGTCTAAAGAACCATACTGTCTAAATAACTTGCTATATATCTCATACATGAGGTTTCCTTCCTGTGCCAATACATATATGATTGTTTAAATAACTTTAGTATAAATGAACTGTTACACACTGCATAGACGATGTTTCTCTTTTGTGTGAATAAGCACATGGACTTCAAAAGTAGAGTTTTCAGCAAACGACTTATTCTTAGTACTCATCATAAAGCTTAGTTTGTTCACTCATTGCTCCACATTACATTTTAAAAAGATGAAATCATTTTAAAATGACAACAATATGCCAGGAAATATTCACGGCCTAAGGTTGGTGCCGTTACAATATTTTCTGTGTTGTAGAAAAATCTACTACTTCTTTCTTGGCAAAGATATTTAGAATCAGTTTTTGGCCTCACGCGCATTTTAAGCGGCAGGTTCTTCACGCAAATGTATCAACGAATTTTTTACACATGTCACTCCACAAAATAGTTTTGCACATCGTAGATGGCTGGTGGTTCTTCAGTCATCAACAGCTAGAAGTTTTGACCTCTAGTTGGCGCTGTGCTCTGAGGTCTTTTGCTGGAATTAGTAGATGAATAAGCACTTTTGCGCGACTTACATTAGTATCTAAGTAAAACAAACATCAAAATGTCATTTGCTATATGGAAAATGCATAATAATGTTGAAACTTGTTAGACCAAGGCCAACTTAAACTCAAGGCCTACCAGTGTGAAAATATTCTTCTTCTTCTTCTTCTTCTTCTTGAAGCTTGGCTTCCCTTTGGCGCCTTATGCTCCAACTCAAAATAGCATTATTTACAAGTTATACCATTAGGACGCATTCCCTCCAATTCAGGGAGGAACGTCAGTCCGAAAAGTAAACCCGTACACAAAAGGTGCTTAGGAGTTCTTTAAGATGTATTTGATGACAAATTTGCCTAAAAAATAATACCTCCAAGGTTTCTTATTGCAATGATTTAAAAGATCAGCTAAGAGGTCAATATTGCTAATTTTCATCTTCATCTTCTTGAGCATAATGTTTCTGGCGCTATCGTGCTTTGTGCAGTGAATAATTGCATGTTCAGTACTGTCAATCGTATAACAAGAGTCACAAAATGGCGAATTCGCTCTACGATACCTGTGCAACAGTTGAGTCGTGTCCAACATTTGCAATCTAGTTTTACTGATTGCAACTTCCATTTTCCTGTCGATGTTTAAGGGGCGAATTCAAGAGCAACGCTTGTCATGGTAATCGCACTTGCATTGCAAAACCGAATTCAAGTGCAACGCTTTTCGGACACGCCTACTGAAAATACGTCACTACCATAGAGGAATTTTGCGGCTACTCCTGACCTGCCGCAAACTCTTAACAGCGACTGTAAACAAGATGGCTGAAGTGATTTTGCTCAGACGTTTAAGAATTCGGAGAAATGCTGATCGAATCCCTTGGCATTTAAGAGACAGTCGTAATGCTTTTGAAATGGTGGAGCGTGAATTCATCAGTTGATTCAGATTAAATCGGTTTGCTTCAATGAATTGAAACCTTTTCTGAAGGCAACTGCCAATGGATATTCTCTGCAAAAGCAGGTTTGTTTTTACTTCAGATTATGAAAACTGAAATACTTCTGGAAATGTTTCCGAATCAAAGACTATGCTTAAATGACCTATTTGAGAATATTATATATTTTTATACGTAAACACACAAATTTTTAATGTTATTGTATCAGGATTCTTTTTTTTCATCCCGTTTTTTTTTTTTCGTAGTAATGATCGAAATCGTTAATTACTGCGAATTTTGGAATGCAGTAATAATATCACCATTAATTTATTGTTTTAATTACTCTAAAACGTAATCTCGGAGAAATTGTTTTTCTAACAGAAATTATGCATATGCCTGTCTTTGAGATATATGTATATATTTGGGATTAGTTTTTTGGAATATTATATATTTTTTCATGGTTTTAGATACGTGCATTTAATTTACATATGCTCTCAGAATTTCAGTGATATAGTAAATTAGTTTGCAGCAATAATTAATCTTTGATATGTATGCAATTAAAATTTCATAATTTAAATTAACTTTATATGAATAGAGAATATTTGTTAAATTCAAATTTCATTCTTTGCAGCAATGGCACATGAGAATTATTTAAATTTAACTTTACTTTTTATTCTTATGAAACAATATATATATATATATTCTGTAACTGTAGGGGGAAAAACCATGAATTTTTCTCAGCTGTTTAAACAGTTCCCATGTGTAAAATAGTATTTCATCCCCCAAAATATTAGTTAATTTTCTCCTAATGTATAATGTCTTGCCTGTTCGTACAGTGTGATTAATGTCATGGTAATTTTGGATACTTTCTATAGATCTTGCATAATAACTACACATGTAAGTTATATACACATTCATAAATCTCTTATGATATGAAAAGTTATTGCAGACTTTCACATAAATATTAATAACTTGGTATTCTCGCAACAGGTGACTTACCTTACTTCCATAGACCATGATCAGAATTAAATAAACTTATAAGGTTATCATACTAAATTACACGAAAAGCAGCATGACATAAATAAATACAAAGGAAATTAAATGTATTTACTGTACTAATAGATTATTATATTACATGACATTGGTTTTGCCCATGTATAATGGTAATGAAAGCCAGTTTTCCATAGAAAGTCCTCTACAGAGGCATCTGTTTTCTTAAGCAGATTGCTTTTACCACATTTCAGTGACCTTGATTTAAGTATGAAACTGGATAATATTTTCTTTCTGCATGAAATGTGTTAACTGAGTTTTAGAAATATAAGCCATCTTGCAGTTACTGTGATAATACTAATTTTTGGTACCTCCATATTATACCATCAACCATGAAAGTTGTGCTAATTACTGCTGTGGAATTCTGAGCCAGACATTTGTATACAGCAGTTACAACAAACCATACAACAGTCTCTCTGCAGAATACATGAAATAAACCCTGCTGTGAAAGTATTGGACCCACTTCGTGAAAAAACATTCTTTCATTACTACTGTTTTATTTGTGGTCAAATTTTACTAAAAGCTCATTTTAGAATGCTATGAATACAAGTTGTCCACAGGTAATTGTTCCAATTTCTTACTGTTTTGTTCGCTATTTCCACATGCAGTAGATGTTAATTCTTTCGACCAGCTGTAAAAAAAAACTGGAGTGCAATCACAAATGTGATTCTACCTAGCTTACCAAGAATTATTTTGGGTTACATACAAATGAAACCGCAGATGTTGCGAGGAGTGTGGTGATATTAATTTTTGTTTTGTCTTCATTAACCGGAAAAATAAATTTTCCATTAATGGTGAAAAGGTAAGAAATATATGATAATAAGTATAATATTATAGTCATTTCAAATTACTGCAAGAATGTTTCATTATTATTCAACATAATAATAACAAAAAGCTATCTATACTATAATTATAGTGAAGTATAGATATTAAATAATACAAAATATTAAATAAATTTTAGAATCACCTATTTACTATAATTACTACAATTTAATAAAAAAAGGGTAGCTGTAATTTTTTTTTTTTTTTTTTTTTTTGTGTGTGGTGTGTGTGTGTGTTGTTTAAACGTTTTATTGCATATTTTTTAATAATGAAAAAACAGTGACATATTTTTGTTAAAAATGGAAAGTAAACTCCTTAAAAAGACTGATTTATTAATATATCAACTATATTTAATGTTAAAAATCTGTATATTAAAATTTCAGATGAAACTTTCTTTTGACTTAGGATTTATGTTTTCTAGGTATGGAATGCTGGTCTGAGGGTTCTCTATGCTATAGGACAATGGCCAGGCAATACTCATGATGCATTTATATGGAGTGGACTGAAACAAAATCTAGATAGTATTTTGTCGCATCGTGCATATCTTTGGGAGATAGTGGATTATATTCCCATTTTATCACGGGAATATCTCTATAATGAGAAGCACAGAAAAGTTCGTGCAGCTATAGAGATCAAATCAAGATTTAGGGTACTGCACGATACTGGTGGAACACTATTGTATTCACAAAGCAAAATATGTAAAATGGTCATATCTGGTGGCCATTTTACATAATATATGCTTAAGGTATTGTGTTGAAAATCCTGAGATTGATGTGTTTGAAGATGATGAGTTGGTACCTTCAGAAAGTTTTCAGTCAGTGCATGTTGAAATTGCATTGCACAATGAATTATCTTTAAATTTTGAAACTCGATAATAAAAACCCAAAGTGGGCAACAATGAACCTCTGGCAAAGGTGAAACCCCCTTCATGGATAATAAAGAATATATTATGAAAAAATTACTTTCATAATATATTCTTGGGGACCCACAAGCCATGGTTTATATTTAAACCTGTAACTAAATGCACAACCCTAAATGATTTTAATTTATAATAATAATCCTAAATAATTTTATTAGTCCTGGTTTCAAATGCATACTGACAACTTTTATCATTATTGTTCTTCCCTCTGAATTTCTTGTTTCCATCATTTATGTTTAAAAACTCTTGACTACCAGAAATAACTTAATAGGCTTGATATATATATATATATTTTAGTGTTGGGTATGCCAGTCATGATTTACAATAGTAAGTCACTATAAATTAGCATTGCACTTAATTTATCTTAAACTTAGCAATAAGATTTACTGCACCGAAATTCAGTTTCTTCCAAAAAGTCAAATGTTTCCCTTTCGTCCCCTTCCGTGGGACAAGATAGAAAATTTCCATGTGACAATACACATTTAATAGCATAAGAACTTCATGCTTATTTATTATAGTATAAATTAAAACTGACATATTCTGTCAAAGATATTTAAATGTATTTCCTAAAAACAATTATTTCACTCTATACTGTTTATGTCTTCTTGGGGGTGAGCAAAACAAATATTGGACAGTTCAATTTTCCTCCACCATTCCTGTGAGTGAGTGTATAATAAATTGTTTTTCAGCCAAAAAAAAAAAAAAAAGAGAAGGGGGAAAATAAATACAGTTTGATTCACTTACTTTTTAGTACGCGACTCAACATTGTTATTGTAAACTAGACATTAGCCATACTTTAATAGTTGTCATCTCTGTATTTTTAGAACTTCGAAATTAGAATGTCAATTTTATCTGCCATTGTTATGGAGCTGTAGGATATCGAATGTTATTTCTTCAATGATAAAAAGAAATGAAATTTTTAATACCACATCTCATTCATATAACTTATTAACATAATTGAAAAAACAATTTAATTCATTTCGTGTTATATCTGAAAATTAAAATTTGTAATACATTGACTAAAGATTCTTACAGGTCTTATTCCCATTTTCCTCCAGGAAAAGATAATTGCTGTGTAAAATGCATAAATATTTTCACGAGACTTATAATAGTGGTATTAGAATTATTATAATGTTTATGTCATATAATGGATCTGTGAATTTCTTTTAAATAATTTTATAATCACAAAATTTTATAAAATTAAGAAAGTAAGAAAGTAGTAAATTTTACAATTAAAATATGAATCCCACACTGCAGAAATACATACAAGAATGAAAACACTGTAATATTTGAAATGCATGATTTATTTTTTAATAAATTAATAATTATATTTTGATTTTCTATGACAGCAGACTGATTTGCAACTGATTGCTTATACAAGTCACATATTTCACACAGTACATAATGTATTCTTCTGTGTTTCAATTATTTCCTTTTC